TATCTTTCTAACTTATCCAACATTTTTAAGTATATTTAACATCTTGTCCCATTTAACGTTATCAAAAGCTGTTTCTAAATCTACAAATCATATCTACGCCCTTTTTTCTATCGTTTTCTCTATTGTTACTCGTAAAGCTAGAATGACCTCCCGCGTTCGTCTATTTCTTCTAAACCCAAATTGATCTTCCCCTAATAGTTCTTCCGCCCTTTTTTCCATCCTCCTTTGTACAATTCTAGTTAAGATTTTTGACGTATGAGAACTTAAGCTAATTGTTCTAAATTTCTCACACCTATCCGCGCCTCTCTTTTTAGGTATGGTTACAACTTTGTTCCGTTTATAATCCTTTGGGACTTTCCCCGTCTAGTAAATGTGACTAACTAGCTTAACTCTACTAGGAAATGTAAAAATGAATAAATACAGCAGCAATTTATCTTTGAGGTAATTAATATCAAAATATCTGTTTTGGTTTAACAAAACACAACAATAGCGTTTTTACATTTTATGATTTCTAACAGGCGTTGCTTATGTTCATGATTTAATGTACCCTGAGAATTTTAAATTTTATAGTCCCTAAATGTACAGATTGAGTTCTTTTTTAAATCAATTTTCAGTGTGCTTGTTCGAAACCGTTCGTTAGAATTTTTTAGAGCACGAAATAAATTTTAAAGTTAGTATGGTTCCATAGATTCCATTTCCGTTTCGATCGGAAGTACGTTAGTAATTTGTAATTTTTTATTTGGAATGACCCAATTTACTTCATTTTGTTGTAACCTTAACTATAACATTTACAGGGATTAAGTATCACTAATGCTAATGTTTAATAAGTTTTCATCAATTCAAGGTGAAAATTTTAGTAAAAGCATCTGTGAATAAAAGACGGTGAGTGATCCAGAACAAAAAAAATTGAAACATTATTTTTTTAATGAAAGAAATTTGCATTTTTGTGTTAGTTTTTGTAAGTTACGGCAAATAATTAATCTTCTGGGAGGTTTGATTCATCCGTGTCTGTGGGGTATTCATGAATTTTTACTAAAATATAAAATACCTTCAGAAATAATAATACATATCAGATTATCAAGTGGGAGGGATTCCTGGACAGTTTCAAACAAAAAAGATTAATTTAATTATGAAAACAAAGAGCTTCTTTTTTCCACAGAAAACTATATTGAATCACTAATTTCGCATGAAGACGATAACAGAGTAAGAGGTACCATACTTAAACTAATATGTTATTCGCACATAACGCAAAAGTTAGTCATATCCACCTTGAAAATAAAAAGTTGTGGGAAAATACCTAATCATATTATTGGTGACTATTTGTTTTATCTGAATCACAGTGAAACTCTTTGATAATTGATCTTCTAATATAAAAAAATCAGAAAGAGTCATGTTAGAGCACTTGTAGATTCATATTTAAAGTTTAAATAGTAAAAGTAACAACAAATACGCTATCTTCGATTTAAGTTCCAGAAGTCTTCAAGACTTTCTTGATGTTTTAAATTCACGTTTCCCTTCAGTTAAATTTACTGTAGAAATGGAAAAAGATGGCAAATTACCATTTTTAGATACGTTGGTTATAAGAAATGGGAATTCTTTAGAATTCGACATCTACAGAAAACCCACTAATACCTCTAGATATATACCCAACGATTCTAATCATTGTGTTCAACATAAAATGCGTAGTTTTAACTTCCTTGTACACAGATTAATTAGCTTCCCTCTTAGTGAAAATAGATATAATAAGGAACTCTGTACAATTAAGAAAATTGCAAAAGACAATGGTTACAATTGTAACATTATTGATAGTAAAAAATATATTGGACAAACTAGACGTTCTATCAAAACCAGATTTAAAGAACATCTAGCTCATGCTAGGTTTGGTAGAGAAGAAAAATCTAGTGTTGCCCAACATATTCTTACTGATGGACATAATATTAATATTAATAACCTTAAGTTAGTTAAAGAAGTTAGGAATAATCGTTTACTAGACAGTTTTGAAAGTTTATACATTTATAAAAATAAACAAATTGTTCTTAACAATGACAACGGTCCTATCCCTGGATCTCCGCTATTTAGTTTAGTTTAATTACGTTTATGATGATGATGTTAAGGTCCATTGAACATCTACCTTGTTGGCTTCGGGTCATGTTCACTGAACCTTAACAACTATCAGTATAAATTAGGATTAGTTCTCATTTAGGTTTAGTTTACTTCAGTCCCTGAAGAAGGTAACTTTGTTACCGAAAAGTGCTTCGGACAACTACAGTGTCGTGTTTTGGCGTTGGGGTTTTGAGCTATTCTGTTTGTTCTACAACAACCGCCAAAGTTTTTCCATTCTTCATAAATACAATATAAACAAAGTTATTCATTTAGTAGATCTCGTATACCTGTGATACAAGTATCATTCTAAAAGCATATCTTAACTAGTTATGGTTTTGAAGAATATACTAAAAGCTCAAATCCAACGCCAAAAAACATGACACTGTTCTCTTGAGTCCCTGAAAATCTATTTCTTTTGGCTAACCCATCCACGCTAGTCAAAACGACATCCCGTTTGTGCAACACTTTAAAGTGAAACATAATGTTCATAGTTATCTATTTAAAATATCTCTTTAAAGTAAGTGTCTCGAAAAAATAAGAAGAAGATTTATTTATGTCCTTTTAATAATTCAATATAAAACAAAACTAAAATTAAAGGGGACAAGTTTAGGTAAAAATAAATTTTGCAGGAAGAAGATACCATGCAAAACAGTGAGACATTCGAAACCTTATTTAAATAGGTAAATGTTTTATTTTTGTAAGTAATTAACATGGAAGATTACGGTTATGTTCCTATATTTTTAAAAATTTTTGTTGTAGGGGTAGATAAAGGATTCATAAGTGGTAAATTTTAAAATTTACATTTTTGTTAAAATCGCTTTGCGTTCTGAAAAAGTGAGTATTTCACGAGAACATCAACAGTTAGCTATAGGAAGGTATAATAGTATTCGATAGAAGATTAAATTATTTAAAGTAAACAAGTTATTGTCATTTAAAATTTATTTCATAATAATTTTTGGACACCCTGTATAGATTAGTTAATTTTTCACAATAGCCGTACAAAACTTAATCAATTAGTAGGCTTCAATTTAAATTTCGTTTTAAAAGCGAATTTAAAAGTTAAAATTGTTACTACATTTTCACAATTCTTAAGGTTTAGGTGAGATAAACCTTAATGAAACTCGCTGCTATTTTTATTATAGAATCCAAAAACGTAAAAATATATAGGGTGTTCCATTAAAAAAAACACTGATACGTTTTGTATTTTTTGGACACCTTGTAGATTATGAATCTTTCGTATCGAATAACGTGAATAACCCTGTATAAAGACTATAAAACAATTAAAAATTACAAAAATTCAACGCAGAACAGAAGAAATATTCATTTCACAATAATTTCTTTCTTTTTCGCATTTTCCAAATTAAAATGTCACTACATGATGTACAGCTACTTAAGGTTGAAAAAAATCGAATTTTACATCTTTATATCCCCCTGAATTTTCTTTTAAGCATTTTAAAGCAATATTCATAAGATACCTAGCTACAACACTAAATAAATACATTCTTTAACAGTTTTGTAGCCCACTAGGAATGTTTCTAGTTTTATAATTTCGGACTATTCATCCATCTGTCTGTGTACACGTAGCAATCTTCCAATACTCATTAGATTCAGACACAAGTTATATTATACACTTGGACGTTGATGATCCAAAAACAGAAGTGATGAGATTTTTAGAAAAGTATTTTTTTGGACTCCCTCGCATTGTGCGCCTACTCAAATGTTTTTTCACTTATTCCACTGATCGAGAGGAAGATGCTTTTATCTCTTTAATATCAATATTTAAGATCAACAAAAAATGTGTTAGAACCTTCAGGTTTTAACCCTCTTGTCATGAAATATTTACACCACAGTCCAGACTAAACTGTCTATACAAATTTCAAAATATCCAAAAAGTTCATGAATGTACCTACCCTCTAATTTGTTAAATACCTCGGTATACGTCTGCTTTGGAATTGCATCCAATTCCAAATACGTTTAGACATGACAAATTTTGTTCAATATGCGACTTCTGTGGGTTAAGCAGAGTCTAAATTTTAGTAATCTATAATAAACTCTCATTTTTTATTTACGTGTTTAAACATTACTTAAACTATTTTATCACAATAGCAGTTTTTCTTTTACATGAGTCGTCGTCGACGTTGTGTGTTGGTAATTACAACAATGTGTTTTTTGTTCTTAGACCTGATAGGCTAATTAGAAACATATTACATATAGAAACAGAAGTTAAGACGGACAGAGGTAGATTTAGATTAGTTTACTGTTCGCAAATAGTTAGAAATGTACTTGTGTTGCTCTAGTTTTCGAGAAATGTGAAGATAGAAAAAAGTGAAGGTGTATGTTCGACCAATCTTCAGGTTGAAGATATTACAATGATGATGATGATGTTCATAATGATGATCATGATGATGATGTTGATGACGACCCTTCTTTCTATCTTCACATTTCTCGAAAACTAAAGCAGTTTAAGTAAACCTCTAACTATTTGCAAACAATAAACTAATCTAAATCTACCTCTATCCGTCTTAACTCTTGTTTCTACATGTAAAATGTCTCTAATTAGCCCATCAGGTCTAAAAACAAAAAACACATTGTTGTAGTTACCAACACCAACGTTTCGCCTTTTGGTACAAGGTTCTTTCAAGGTTAATTGTAAGTCACTGATTGTTTATACGGGGATGGCCTGGGTTATCAGACTGATAAACAATAAAAACAGCACAATTTTGTGAGTCACTTAGAATGTATCTTAAAAAAACTTGTACCAAAACACGAAACCTACTTTGTCTCAGTGGTTATAAATAAAATGTTTTTTGCTCCCATGTTTTCCGGAAAATTTGTACTTTTTATTATTGTATTCTTATGTGGAACAGTGTAAGAAAACAGATCATTCGTGGACTTACCGATTTCTGACAGCACGTATGTAGGAGGTAAAGAACAAAGCGCAGTTCACCGCATCTTCTGTTAATCCAATTTGAATCAATGTCCAGGTATTGAACCGGATGAATTATTACCACTGCCAATAATATATTTCTACCCAAGAATTGTTGTGTGATATTTTACTGGGTAGATACGGTATGCGCACGTGCCGTTATCGTTTTATCCTCGTTATTTCATGTAGATGAGAGGCGAGGACCAAATTAATACTAACAACGCGACGACGCCGTACCTTCGGCCGGTAGTGCAAGCATTTGGATACGACGTCTTTGGTGTCGCGGCGCCAGTTAAAGCAGCGCGTCGAAGTCGATAGTTTTGCAAGCTTTCGACGTCATGAGATATTTTTAGGACAAAAAATCGTGTTTATTTGCACACAGGAAGCGCAATCTCGTACGTGCTAATAGAAAAATTACCAAAAATGTTATGTACAGTTAATAAAATAGTTTTGTTTATACAGTTTTCATTTCCTGTTTCTATAAAGGCGCAGAAAATTAGTAGCAAGAAATTTAAACAATAATATTTATAGAATTAAGTATCTAAACAAAAATCAGTGCAGAAGAATTTCTGCCCACTAGATGTGGTTTTATGGTAGAACTAGATGTTTGAACGCGAAGAAGGCCTACTTTTACGGGTCAAATGCGTATAGTTAATTTTTATTTACCTTAAAAAATTATGTGACAGACTTATTCGGTGATGCGGAATTCCCTCCCGCAGGTAGTTTTGATTAAAATATAGATAGTCGAATTCCCTCCCGGGTACTAGCCGAGTTCCCTCTCGTTCATATCAGTTCCGATAATAATTAAGTTAACGACTACTTACCGATTTTATTTATCGAAAATAAATATATATTTATAGTGCACTTCAGTACTCCAGTAAATTAAAGATAAAATAATTTCAGAAAGAAAACATATATCTGTTATGAAATGTTTATTTATTTAATTTTAAAATGGTTTCCCACTACCTTAACAAATTCAATGTTTGGAAATTCGTGTGCGTCTAGCTTTTTGATGCAATCATCTAGAAAAACTTTATTAGTTTTAGTTTGTCTTGTTTTTGACCAGCAGAATGGTAGTCTGATAAAATTATTATTGTTATTGTGATGTCTATAATATATGAATAATATTAAGATTAATATGTGATGTGAGGCTGTATTATTTAAACAACT